CTTCTCAGTCAAACCCATTCTGGTGTTTGATGGCCGTAATCTGCCGTCTAAACAGGAAGTGGAAAAGACCCGCAGAGAGTGAGTTACCCACCCAGGCGCAGAGATAGATGGGGGGCCAGGGCCCTTAGCCAATCATTGGTCACCCCTACCATTTTTCCCTCTAACACAGATGGTGGCTGCAGAAATACTCTGAAGTAGAATATTCAAAACATTAAAGTTTTTTGTGTTTAATTATACACATCAATATACTAACATTAAAGATGATAAATATAGAATTCATAATCTTTTCAGAACTAGATTTTGTGTTTTATAAGGTAAAAATAAAATGAGTCTCATCAAGTCATCTAGGAGCTTTCAGTGAAATCATAAATAACTTTTTTTAATAAAAACTTTTTTAAATTAATTTCTGTAGATATTAGTGCATGTAAATATCAATTTTATGCAGAATGATTATTGATAAAAGTAGGTAAGTAATGACAATGGAAAAGATTTACTCAGATCTCAAACCTGAAATAATTTTATCCACTATTCCTTTTATTTAGAGGCCATGGATGTTTAAGTATATGCGTCTATTTGTTAGCAAAGGCTGTGGGAAAGAATATGCTGGTAAAGATTCTCTGTCATCCATGTCATAGTCATTTAAAAAAAAAAAAAAAATCCGTTGGACTTTGTTTCCAAGTTTGAAGACGGTTCGCTTCCCATCCGTTAGAATAGCTTTATAGAGTGGACAGAAACAAAGCCTTGTTTTTGTTTAGAAAGCATGTGAATTGGAACAGACCAACGGGTCCACTCTTTGGAATGCGGGTCGTTGCGCTTCTTTTGTTAGCCTGTACTTTTGTAGGAGTTATTTGGTGTGCCTCTTATTATGGGGATTCTTCCTATCGGAGGAATGCTCTGATCTTTATATTGGAGAAACCAAACAACCACAGATGCATGACCCAAGACAGAAGAGCGGCCTCCTCCGGACAAGACTAGGCTGTCTATCTACACCTTATGGACAAATTAGATTCTTTTCAGGACCAGAATGTTCACGTTTTAGACCAAGAAGACAGGTGATTTGAGAGGGGGGTGAAGGAAGCCATCTATGTTAAAGAAAAAACAACCTTAAACAGAGGGGATGAACTCAGGTTTCAGCTTTTTAAAGCCTACAATACAGCGATACAGTTGATTTCTTCCCGCTATCATTGCAACCCCTTTACAGGAGAACAGAAGAGCTACCAGTTCAGCCAGGCCAAAGGTTCCCTTTAACGACCCCCCCCCCCTTTCAGACACAGACAGATATGAAGCATCGCAGGCTAACAAAGCGCCCAAACGACTCCCATTTTGAATTGAAAAGTCTTCCTGGATGGGAAGCGAAACATCTTCAAACTTGCAAACAAATTCCAGTGGATTGTTTTTAACAGTTTTTTTGGTTGGAAAGTAGAGTTTGTCTTTATTTAGAAAATATGGATGTTTCACTCATTAATTTTCCTGTTGGAACACTGTAGATTGACCCTGAGGTTCTGGCGCCTATCTCTTTTGGCCCCCCCCTCAGTGGACATTGGTTATTGCCTGGTCACCGTAATTACAATTTTCTGGCTACAAAACCAAAAAACAATATTTTAAAAAATGCAGTAAAATAAAACAATTGGTCGAATTTTTGCATACAAATGATAAGAAAACCTTTTTTATTTAGTTTTCCAGTCCCTTCGTTGTGGCTTCAGCAGCAGTGGAGCTGACCACCTCCGTGCGTGATCCTTCGCTGCCTTAGTGCTAGTGATGAGTCCAGTTACAGCGATGCGTGGAGCCCAGAGAGCAAAACACCATCACTGCGCGTGCCGTTTCCAGAAAGTCATGTGACCGATACATGTCAACATGATGCATCTACTAAAAAAAATTCTCAACTTTACGTTTTATGATTAAAATGAAGAATTTTGGAGCAGCCTAAAAGGAACAGGAATATTTCAGCCGTTGTGTTTTTATTTTAATTTTCTTGTTGTGTCATCCTTTTCCTCTCAGTTATCACTCAACTTATCTCAATTAAAGTTAATTTCAAACTGACTCTTAGTTTATTTACTGTTTTTACTGTACTTGTTGTTTTAAAATTATTATTCAAAATCCTAGTCCACAATCATCCTCATTTAGCCTGGGTGCCAGTCCGAACTTAGTCCCGCCCACAAGGTTTGAGTCGGACTACGTCAGGCTAATCCTCATTCACATTTTCCCCTAAATTTTCACATTATGATAAATGTTTACGTTATTTATTGGCTGCACATAGAAATATCAAAGATATTTTCAATTTAAACATAGATATGAAATAATACAATATAACCTACAATGATATAATTTTCCTAGGTCATCAAATCTGTTCAGTTTAGTCTTGTCTAATCAGCTGCCTGTAATGTCTTTAAATGTCCAGCAGGTGTCAGTATTCTTTGACACAGTATCAAAGCAGGATTAATACAGTTTGGCTTCAAGATGCCTCATTAACAATCACTACTATAAAGGTTTTAGTTTCTTTGTGTCTCTTTCAGGCGCAGGGAGGCCAACCTTCAGAAAGGCCGGCAGCTGCTGCGGGAAGGCAAACTGTCCGAGGCCAGAGACTGCTTCGGACGCTGCGTTAACATCACACCCACCATGGCTCATAACCTCATTAAGGTGCGGCTTCTGGAATCTAGGATCCGTCGGAATGATATTACTGCTTTTGGAGTCTGGAAACATTAGATCATTATTCTCTGCAGGGATGTGGTTTAATGTGATGTTTTTTCCTCATCCAGGCTGCCAGGCAGAGGGGGGTGGACTGTGTGGTGGCTCCCTATGAAGCTGATGCTCAGCTAGCTTACCTCACCAAATCTGGCTTTGCTCAAGCTGTCATCACTGAGGATTCTGACCTGTTGGCATTTGGCTGCAAAACGGTGAGTGGAACAAAAGCAGGGCTGNCTTGGGATATTAAGCCCTGAGCACTGACTGACAGGAAGGTAACAAACTTTCTTACTCACATGCAGCTTACTGCCAACTGAGCTACAGCACCCCCTACTGTACAGAAGGAGTAACAGCATTGATTCAGCTTAAAACAAAGAACTGACATTTACAGGGATTCTTCCTATCGGAGGAACACTCTGATCTTTATATTGGAGAAACCAAACAACCAAAGATACATGACCCAACACAGAAGAACGGCCTCCGCGGGACAAGACTCAGCTGTCCAGCTACACCTTATGGACAAACAACATTCTTTTCAGGACCAGAATGTTCACGTTTTAGACCAAGAAGACCGGTGGTTTGAGAGGGGGGTGAAGGAAGCCATCTATGTTAAAGCAAAAAAACAACCTTAAACAGAGGGGATGAACTCAGGTTTCAGCTTTTTAAAGCCTACAACACAGCGATACATTTGATTTCTTCCCTCTATCATTGCCACCCCAACCCCTTTACAGGGGAACAGAAGAGCTACCTTTTCAGCTAGGCCAAAGGTTCCCTTTAACGACCCCTCTTTCAGAGCCATAGACAGGTATGGAGCATTGCAGGCTAACAAAGCGCCCAAACGACCCCCAATTTGAATTGAAAAATCTTCCTGGATGGGAAGCGAAACATCTTCAAACTTGCAAACAAATTCCAGTGGATTGTTTTTAACAGTTCTTTTGGTTGGAAAGTATAGTTTGTCTTTATTTAGAAAATATGGATGTTTCACTCATTAATTTTCCTGTTGGAACAGCGTAGATTGACCCTGAGGTTCTGGCGCCTATCTCCTTTGGGCCCCCCCCTCAGTGGACATTGGTTATTGCCTGGTCACCCTTATTACAATTTTCTGGCTACAAATCTGAAAAAACAATATTTTAAAAAATGCAGTATCGCTGCGCGTGCCGTTTCCAGAAAGTCATGTGACTGATACATATCAACATGATGCATCTGCTAAAATAAAAAAAATCGAAACTTTTGCAGTTTATGATTAAAATGAGGGTTGGAGCAGCCTAAAAGGAGCAGGAATATTTCAGCCGTTGTGTTTTTATTTTAATTTTCTTGTTGTGTCATCCTTTTCATCTGAGTTATGATTCAACTTATCTCAATTAGTTAATTTCAAATTGACTCTTAGTTTATTTACTGTTTTTACTGTACTTGTTTTAAAATTATTATTCAAAATCCTAGTCCACAATCATCCTCATTCACATATTCCCCTAAATTTTCACATTATTATAAATGTTTACGTTATTTATTGGCTGCACATAGAAATATCAAAGATATTTTCAATTTAAACGTAGATATGAAATAATACAATATAACCTACAATGATATAATTTTCCTAGGTCATCAAATCAGTTCAGTTTAGTCTTGTCTAATAAGCTGCCTGTAATGTCTTTAAATGTCCAGCAGGTGTCAGTATTCTTTGACACAGTATCAAAGCAGGATTAATACAGTTTGGCTTCAAGAGGCCTCATTAACAATCACTACTATAAAGGTTTTAGTTTCTTTGTGTCTCTTTCAGGCGCAGGGAGGCCAACCTTCAGAAAGGCCGGCAGCTGCTGCGGGAAGGCAAACTGTCCGAGGCCAGAGACTGCTTCGGACGCTGCGTTAACATCACACCCACCATGGCTCATAACCTCATTAAGGTGCGGCTTCTGGAATCTAGGATCCGTCGGAATGATATTACTGCTTTTGGAGTCTGGAAACATTAGATCATTATTCTCTGCAGGGATGTGGTTTAATGTGATGTTTTTTCCTCATCCAGGCTGCCAGGCAGAGGGGGGTGGACTGTGTGGTGGCTCCCTATGAAGCTGATGCTCAGCTAGCTTACCTCACCAAATCTGGCTTTGCTCAAGCTGTCATCACTGAGGATTCTGACCTGTTGGCATTTGGCTGCAAAACGGTGAGTGGAACAAAAGCAGGGCTG